ACAAGCATGAAATATGAATTTGTGTATTACCTGATACATGGGATACGGCACCGGTGTCCCCTCCGGCACATCCAGCATCATGTTCTCAAACGGGCCCTTCTTCTCCTCCAGGTCCTTCCCACCAGCCTATCACAGCACAGACACAGAGGTTGAAGGTCACAGAATACAGTACAGGCTGAGGGGAAAGGAACCTCTCACACTCACGCCCACATTCGCCCTTTTTGCTTCGTCGAACTTGCAGCTGAAGTCAGGGATTGAGGGGCAGTTATTTATTGAACCAAAATTACAGGACGACTGAAGAAAATCTTTATATATTTCACAGGACGTGAGAGCAAAGTCTACAGACTCTGACTGAGTTTAGCAACACCTTTCACTTCTACTTACTGTTTAACATTAGTCACTTGAGGCCACGGAGGCCAGAAATAAAATCGTCTTTTCTTGCGTTTCTTATGTTTCAAACCTGTCCCAGAAATTATATATGAATATAACCAAGCATGAATCCACTGCTCCAACTGTTTCATAGAGCTTTTAACAGGTTCATGTATCGGAGCATTATTATGAAGAATGTATCGAAGGAGCGCAGAAGCAGTTGGCAGTGTTATATACTCACAATGCTGAACAGGAGTGGGAGCAACAACAGATGCACCATGGGTGTCATGATCACAGTCTGGGAAGGGAGTCGAGGAGGAGGAGGAGGAGGAGCAGAGATGGGGATTTAAGGGAGGAGGTGACAAGAAGAAGTGGATGAAAATTAAACATTTAAATTTCACAAAGCACCATATTCATCATGCTCTGCTGTGACATTCATCATGTCTGGTGCTTGTAGAAATAGTGAAGAATGTGTGGGAATTATTATTATTATTATTTTAACTATAACTCAACTAATCCGAAGGATGTCAGCACATTATTTAGCTCCATAAAAGACAACAGCTTTGAAAAAGTAAATCTGTGGTCTGTCTAGAATTCACACATGTGCACACTATCTCAGTCTATCCTCACACTTTGAGCTCAATGTGAACTTAAAGTGCCAATAAGTGTGGCTCCGCCTCCACGTGCAAGTGAACAGTGCACCGTAACGACCAGGAAAACTGAGAGCTTTATAATAAACCTGTTTCTCTTTGTGCAACCTGGATCCCAGTGAATATGACACAGGTACACAGAGGTCAATGTAAAGTGTGGAATACGTGTGTGTGTGTGTGTGTGTGTAGCTTGAAAACTCATCACACGGTGATATTTTCTGACTTCGCTCTACAGTATTATCTTTATTGTGCCTGGAAGACATTACATTCAGATGACAGAGTACACAGACTGTCAGAATGATCTTTTTTACGATTGACACATGCTTTCGACAGCGACGTCGAAAACACGTCTTACGTTCAGTAACATCAAACAAAACTGAAATAATTAGTATAAAATGACCGTGTTAAAGAAACATATCTCAAAGTTTGAGATTTCCTGTTGTAAAGTGCAGGCGAGGGAGGAGGGTGAAGTCAGCCGCCACAGAAAAGTGAAGGTGACATTGAGTCGTGGCTAATGACCTTTTTGAGGCTCAGCACTCGTAATGACACCTAAAGTCACCGACATCAAATGACCAGATTATTAGCAGAACAAAGATTTCTCTCCAAGTTTCCAGCATCTTTAAACCATTTATTAGTGTTTTCGGCCCCACGTCGAACGCTACCTCCGACTGCCAAGTCAATGGTGGCTTTAACAATCGACACACAGCAACGTGCAATGAGGTAACTGACTTCCAGTGAGGAAAATATTAGGAATTGAATTATTATGTACTTTTCCAACAATGGAAACAATGGAGGTGGTACAGGTGTGTGTGGGCACTGCAGGGCCTCACGTTCTCCTCTAAACAGAGTCATTAAGACTATCAGTTTATTTTACAGCTTCTATGATAAAAAACCTAGTGTCCCATTGTGGTCATTTCCCCCTGATGCCAGGCACCAACAATAACCAATGAAGCCACAGAGGTTGTCAGACATTCCAACACCTGACACAAACGGCCCTGACAAAGTCAAATCAAGATCACAGCGCTCCTTCAACAAACCTAAAACCTCCGACTTGTCAGATTCAGCCTGTGAGAACCAGTAGATGTTGTCCGGTGTGTGTCTAACTCACACACCCCAAAGAAATATATATATCTTTTAAATCCAAACACCCAACAAATCCAAAACTGTGAGCCAGGAGAGCGTGAACACTTACCTTCCTGGAGAGATCGAGCGAGTCACTCCTCAGCCCCGGCAGTGATCTGTGCAGCCCCATCCTGTGTCTGGTCAAACGTTAACCAAGCGCTAACCAGCAAAGTTTTATTGGATCTAATGATTGTCTAATCACCCCCGGCTCAGCCAATGGGCTCGCAGCTGACGAGTGAGAAGAAGACAGGAAGAACAGAACAATGACACATACAGTCCCATAAAAGACCAACCCATTATCACTAATATCTATTACTGAGAAAAAATACATAGAATGCTCATAGTTTGAGCTTCATTGGTGTGATATTGTTACAAGTTGGAGACATTTCACAGAAAAAGTGGATATCTGCACTTTTCAGACTTCATGTGTTTGAGCTGTAAACTTCAGGAGAGAAATTGGGAAAAAATAGGTAAAATTATTGGGAATATTTCTCTAGAAATGTGCTGTTCAGCCTCTCAGTCTCTGATTCCGGTTCAGACTTTGACCTCTGCACCTCTGCACTGTTTCCTGTCAGATTTTCCATTAGTGGCTGTGCCTGATAAGGAGCCGTGTGTGTGAGATAGACAATAAGACTAACAGATTGCATTGACAATCCATTGCCTTATAATAATAACTCAAAGCAATGGGGTCATTCAGGTCAAAGCACACACAGTGAAAAATAAACAACAGGTTTGACTCCAGCTCTTTATTTGATGAACTTTCCCACCATCAAAAAAAAGGAAATGGATGGGAGAGTTGTAGTGTTGCTGCCTTTTACTCAGGTGTCTCCCACTTCTCTTCTTCATCTTTGAGATATTTCAGTCCATCCTTCCATCCAGAGGTGGGAAAACTCTGGACAAGTCATTAGACAAATAACCATTCACACCTGTACAGGCATTTTTAGAGTTTCCAATCCTAACCCTAACCCCAATCTGCATTTCTTTGGGCTGTCTGAGGGAGCCAGACTGAAGTCCATCACTGTTAAATCCAATTGACTGGACCTGATTTACACATCTGTCTAGATAAGGTCCCACAGCTGACAACACATTTCAGAGCAGAAACCAACCTACAGAGCTCAGAGACACAGATCTGGGGAAGGCAATAAAAAAATTGCTTCATTGAAGGTTCCCCGGAGCCACAGTGGCTTTTGTAATTCTTAGATGAAAAGAGTTTTTAACAACCAGGACTCCTCTGAGAGCTGCAGCCAAACTGAGCATTCGAGGGAGAAGGGCCTTGTCAACAGTTGTGACAAAGAACCCGATGGTCACTCTGGCCGAGGTCCTGAGAAACTTTTGTACTCAATCCGTGTTGTTTGTCACCGAGCGGCACGTATCCCTGGGATACCTCCTCATACACTGATCCTGTGCAGAGAGCAGTGAGCTTTGTACCAGCTGTAGAAAGCCGCTTGGAAACAAGGCAGCGACATGTGTGAATCTACAATTGTAGAAAAACAGGCTGTGAATGAGTCACAGTTTCACAGGATCGCTATTTATCTAGAACCTGTGATGCAGTGCCGATGGTTCGGCGGATGAAGCCGATATTTCAGATGGAAGTGACTATTATGTAAAACACGGGTCCAAACATGGATGTGTGCACTGTGCAGGCCGTCTGAGAGATATTCTGTCCTAACATACACCATCTGCCCAATGCTCCCTGGCCTGAACTGCTCTGAATGTTACCTTGGCAACACATTTTTACCACTTCTCAAGTATAACTGAGTTTGAGAGCTGAGCAAGCTGTGATGTTTGGTGTCACACTGTGTGACCCAGATGTCCTATGGGCCCGAATTGCTGTGTCCAATCAGGTGACACACACACACACACACACACACACACACACACACACACACACACAGAGGTTTGTGCAGCTATCATTGTAAGCACATTGCATTGACTTCTATTCATTGTGGATAGCCTAACCAAAAACATATCCCTAACCTTAACCGTGCCCAAGTCCACACCTCAGACATAAACTAACCTCAATTCTTAACCATGACAACTAAACCTGACCCTGAATATTTGCCCAAACCTTATTCTAACCCTCATCCTGAAACCAAATCTTCACCCTCAAACATCTGTTTTGGAAAATGAGGATTGGCAAAAATGTCCTCACTACGTAAGATACTCAAAGTGATGTTTCGCCTCATTCCAGCCTTTGGTCCCCACGAGGTCCACTGGTCCTGACAAAGTCAGTGTTTATGCATTAAGTTCCTACAAAGGTCATAAAAACGAGTACACACACAAAGTCTTGCTCTTCTTCTTAGTGAGGACACTCATTTGCATAATGCACCCAGTGGCCCCTAACTTTAACCATCAAAACTTCATGTCTAACAAACTTAACCTGAAAACAAGTCCTAACCTGAAAAACTCCCTTTGAAAAAACGAAGACTGGCCAAAATGTCCTCACACCCTGAGGTCTATGCACAAAATGGATACACACAAACACACTTGTACTCATATATTAGTGAGGACACTCATTGGTATAATGAATTCCCTCGCTCCTTATCCTCACAAATAAACGTGTAATCTGAAGATATAAGTTCAAGTCCACGCACAGTCAGAGGAGTAATTGTGTTTGTGGAAGTTCAGCTTTAGTGTCACCTCCTGACTCATCTTTTATCAGCTCGTGTTGCTGTTAAACTCAATCTGCACAAGTGTCTCTTCTCTGTCCACGATGAGTCATCCATGCTAACATCCCATCAGCGAGGTCTGACATGACAAAAAGACAAAGACAACTGTTTCTTTCTTTTCAGATGTCACTTTATTTCATCAAGCAACACTGAAACTTCATCCAAGTAGCAAAATACAATCCATGATCGCTCTGGTATTTATTTACAGTCAGTGCAAAATACAACACGTTATAAATAATGTTTGATTTGATTGATACATAAACTACACTCATACATCAGTAGCTTACAAGTGGTCATCTTAGCACTTAGGGATTCAACAGACTAGTCAACGGGGCAGAGGTGAGAGCGGAGGGAAGAGGGAAAAGAAGAAGAGGAGAGAAAAAGGCTGATTTTAATGTCTTCACAGAAATGAAACAAACATCATCTCCACCTGTCAGTTCATAAATACCACAGTGTTTGTGTCAGTCACTGCATTAACTGATTGTCTGGTCCGTTACAAATGCTGATGATCTGCGCTCACTCCACTCAGCCAGATTCAGACTGCGTCATGTGAGCGGCAGAGTAGAAATCTGTTAAACGCCTCTCAGACGCACGCTGTCTTGGCTGTGCTGAGAATGTGAACACGGTGAGGACCGGGTAAGAACCCTCCAACGTTCATCCCTCAAGGATCAGGCTTCCCTCAGGTCCATGTCCCTCATGACTGGGTTTGGTGTCGAGTAAAACCAGTGTCTGTTGAACACCTACAGCACAGACAGGTCATGACAGGACTTTGATTTCAGCCAGAACGCCACGTTGGGGTTGTTCTTTGCCACCACCTTGTCCAGGAGACGTTTGGCCTTCGTAGGGAGGCTCTCGCGCCGCGTGTTACAGGCGCTGTGCCGCCGACGTTTGTTGGCTTCCTTGGAGTCTCGGCGCAGACGCAGCTGTCGCACGATGCCGTGGAAGGCCTCCCAGACGTTGTGCTGCATGGCAGCTGAGGTTTCAATGAACTTGCAGTCGAACACAGCAGCACAGGTGCGGCCCTCTGAGACAGAAAGTCAAAGATCAGTGTTTGCATTTGGAAAAAAGAAGAAACTCACAGTAACTAGTGTTCATCTCTCACTAACACAGAGGGATTGTGTCTCCGTCCTCACCATTGACTGACACCTCTCTGCGTCGTACAAGGTCACACTTGTTCCCCACCAGGATGATCGGGGTGTGCTGAGCAGGACGGAAGCGGCGGAGGGTGATCCTGAGCTCGGAGGCTCGAAGGTACGAGGCCCGGTCAGTTATAGAGTACAGCAACAGGTAGGCATCACCTGTCTGCATGTGACACTCCTGAGCCCAGTCATTGGCAGTCTGAAACAGGCACAAACACACAGTTAGAGAAAGGAAATGCAGACGGATGTGCTCCCTCATGGGTCAAGATGTCGTGTTTAGTCTCACCTCTGTGTCCCATGTGTCCAGTAGAGTTACAGCTGCAGGTTCTCCGTCCACTTCAATCATCTTTTCACACATTTCATCTGAAATCAAACAAACATAAGAACATTTTAGCATCAGTGAAATCATATAATCATGTTAACAGACATGTGCTGGACATCATCTCTCACAAAAATGAGTTTCATCACATTATCAGAAATTAAACAAGTGTGTGGTTCGTAAACTTATATCACCGTTAAAATTTAAAATTCAATTTATTTTTTCTGTTGGTTTGTGTTTTTCTTCTTTAGTCGTTTGTTCTCTTGTAATGTTGAGTATCAGCAAGGTCATAATCTTCTCACCTCCACACAGCTCGCAGTCATCGCTGTCCATGCTGTCCGCTGCCCCGGCGAAGATGCTGGCGAACGCCGTCTTACCGACTCCGCTGGCCCCCAACAGCACCACCCGATACGGGCGCCCAGGCTCCGGCGGCTCCCCGGCAGAGTCGCTGGAGATGATCGAGTCTGCGGAGGACCAGCTCCCGCGGCTGCCGTTCGACTCCCCCGCCGAGCTGGTGCAGGATTTGGAGCGGGAGATGCATGCGGGGACCCGGGCCAGGAAGCTGTCCGAGAGCAGGTGGCTACCCGGGTCGCAGATGCTCCACCGGTGGAGCTCGGTCTGCAGGCGGAGGCTGTGCCGGCGCACGGTGGATAGCATGGTGCCGCGGGCAGAAATTAAGATGAAGTGGATTAACCGACAGCGGTGGGATTAATGTGGTTGTTTAACCTTTTTCACCACTGACAGAAAACTCCCCCAGATAAAGTACCGAGAGTTAAACGTCGCTTTTACGCATGTTTAGTTTGAGAACCCGAAACCAAAAGGTGCGTAAAGTCTGCGCCAGAATGAAAAGATCAGTAAAGTCAGTCAGAGGTTTCAGTCTGTACATCTCTACTGGGCATCATCAGAGACGAGGGTTAAAAAACACGAACCAAACGCTTTCTACAATAAACCCAGGCTCATGCGTAAAGACGCATCCAGCGATAAAAGCTAAAGTTTGATCCGGACGTGAGCTTGTAGACTCCGGGGAGACATCCACTGCATGTGTCTCCTGGATGAGTGTGTCCCTGCAGAGTCTCTAATGCTGTGATGGGGATTCCCTGTGGTTTTATTAAGAGGAGCAGGAGGAGGAGGGTCTCACAAGTGGAGCATTAGTGTCCACTGTGGAGAGGTGGATATTTACGGATGTGACTCATAAGGGACACATTGGTTGGACAGCAGTGGTGCGATGTAACTTTATGAAGTATAGGGCAGGGTGACATGGCCAAAAATTAAATCAACATAAAAATGTTCACATCGGTCAATAATGACAATTATCACGTTATAAATTAAAATAATTAGTTTTGCTCTTGAGTAAAGGTTCTGGTTTTAAACTCTTTATGAGCAGAGAAACATTTTACAAAGGTGGATCATTTTGTGCTAAACTTCTTCACTCCGCTACACAATGCATAATTGTGCTTATTATGGTTTTAATTCCGGACCAGGACTCAGTGTATTGTATTAAATTGTAAAAGCTGAATTTAAAAATTCAAGAGTTACTTAGATAATATAAAATAGATCAAAATGAACAATAAAAAGAGTGAAAGTGTGCAGTGTAACAAATTAGTAATTATATGTTTCACATATTCAGTTTTTGTGTGTGAATTAAAAATTGAATGTATTTATAAATGGTGGGTTTTGTGTGGGAGCAGATGAGAATAGCTGATCTGGACTTGAGCTGCTGCCTGTTGATGATTAACAGACATGACAGATAAAAAATAAGTTATTATAGAATGAAAGATTCTTCAAGGTTCATATATTTCTTGACATACAGCTGCTAAAAATCACAGAAGGGAATATTTAAGCAGTTTTTTTGATATGCTGAACTATTCTCTGCTTGGAATAATCTTTTTTATTTACACTTTTTACATTTATACCAGAAAGATTAAATGCATAATTCAGCAAGGTTAAACTTCCAGGAGAATCTCTATAAGACAAAAACAAAAAATGTACATGTTATTCACTAATGAAATCTACATGAAGACATCACTCCTATCTGAGTGAAGCATTATCAGAAAAAGCTCTAACATTAAAAAGAGACAGGGAGTGGCACAGATAACAGCTTTATATCGTATCAATCAACACACCCTCTATTGGCTGTAACACTGTGGCTGATGAGAGTGAAAACAATATCTATTATTTCTGACATCTATATTCTGTGTTGGCTCCTCAGTGTCAAAGAGGATCTAGTTTTCATATCGAGAGTTTGCGAATAAAGGCTCGACAAAGAGGCTTAATATAAGCCTGAGGTCTGCCCTCAGCAGCATCAGCACATTATTAATGGGTTGGAAACCACCAGTTGGTATTTCGCAAATAACCCATCTACCGATGTACACAAATGCCCAGAGAGACCCTGCATCCCATCAAGTATTCAACTCAACTCGTAAACATGGGATATTCATTCCGCAGAGCACTTCTGTGTGTGTGAGTGACGGAGCGTCTGAGAGCAGGGAGAGTTATTACGGTAATAGTGGGATTATACTGCTTTTTCGTCTGTTGTTTTTCAGGACTTTGTATTCGGGTTGTGGCCTCATCCTCGGGGACCTGCTGCTCTGTATTACAGCTCTGATCTGATCTTTACTGACAGATGATTGGGTGACGTTAAATCCTTGTTAAGTGCTGGAGCGGGACCAGGGTCAGGAGGAGGGGAGCGATGGCTGGATGGATGGAGGGAGGGTTGTGCTCTGGCTGGCTGCAGATTGGCAGGGGGATGTTGATGGCTACAGACGGGAGCAGTGAGAGTTGACCTCTTTCTTTTTGTCCTTTGCTTGATGTAAAACAATGTTTCAGAAGGTCAGACAGAGTTTAGAGGTGGTCCAAATACCACATCAAATATTCTTTCAGGTTCAAGATATGATCAGCGTTGCTTTAAAATGCTCAGCAACACAGACAGAATTTGAACAAAGTTTGTGACGATAACGTAGTGGTTTACTGCCCAACAACCCAGACTGCTGGGAAACGACAGCCTGCTCAGTATTTAATTATAGTGCAGAAATCAATAGCTTTATTTATCCAGGGGACAGATGTGCTATAGAGTAACAACCTCTCTTTCTGGGAGGACCTGTTCGCATCACACCTTGAAGTTGCTCAGTGCAAACACCAGTCTGACCTGATGATCACTTCTGTGGGAGACAATATGATGATATGTTGATATTAGAGAGAGAGAGAGAGAGTAAAACTTTGGTCTATTTTCTATTATAATTAACTATAAATAAAACACTAAAACAACTATATCTAGATAACTTATTTAAAGACATTAGGAACTTTTTTTTTTACATTTCTGCATTTCAATTTTGTAAAATAAAAGTTGTTATAATGGCGAACATAAGCACAAATACTGATGTAGGCTTATATTAGCTCTAGTTAAAACGCCACAGTGTAAGGAAAAGGAGTAATGCTAATTTGATCTATCTCTCAAAGTAAAGTAGTGATGAGTCTAATGTGTTTAAATGAATTCACTTGATACCATTTCGTGAATATTTTGCTTTAAATTGAGCATCATTTCCAAAATATGTTCCCAGAGAGAAAAAGATCTTTATATCTGTATAATCTCTAAATCATAATCTATAATGTAAAAAATAACAGTTACCAAGCATCTGTACTTTTGCTTCACAGCAAAATACAGATACAGAAGGTTGGAGACCAGATACATTTGTTGTGACCCTTTAAGATGCAGTGGCCTTGCTTCAGAAGTCGATCATGCAATCAAGTCAAGAGGGTATATTTGGCAGCGCTGTCACAAAGAGCTCCAGTGTTAGGTGAATGAGGTCAAATATACCTATACAAACATATTATATATAGACATACAATAACCTATACAACAGCCGGCCTTCATGTTATATCACTACATGGTTCAGTGCGTATTTGTGCCACAGTCACATGGGATCTAGTATTCTTGATGTCTGCTGGTTTTATACCAAACCGTTTTTCTTGATTTTACTCTGTAATACTCTGAACTCACTGTACATTTCAGTCAATACATTAAATTGTCCTTATTGATGAATAACCTGGCAGCTGGTGAATAGAGACCAGGCCTGATGGCCTCAAGAATAGTCTGCTGACACTCAACTGCAGGAGGAGACGTCTCAAAGTCTTAAAGTACAGAAAGAAGTGCCACAACAAGGCCTGTGAAGTACAGACTGCATATACTACCAGTTCTAATGCACAAGTATCGCACCATCTCTTCTTAAACATCATTCAGCTCGAGTGTCAATGATTCTCAGACTGATACTGAATGAAATTATGAGAACTGGAACCTCAGTGAGGGTTAATATCAGATGTTTCACCTTCCACAATACATTCAGATCTACCACAGAGGTCTGGAGATCACAGAGAACAAATCTGCGACTCAGATCCTCAGAAAAAAAAACAACTGTATCCTTTTCAGCCTCTCCAGCATTCAATCCCTGCGCCAGGTCTTTGAGCTGGCGGGGGCTTAAAATGAGGGATTGGCAGTGCGGGCAGGAGCGGCTGGTAGGAGCTTTGCACAGACAGATAACCACTTCATCATCATCACCATCAACCTCATGCACTGCCCAGCACATGGCCTTTCAGACTATTAGAGAAGTGATTTGGATCAATATACTGCTTAGACGAGTGACACTTGTCCGTCAGACACGTGTCCCGTACCAAAATATCAAAGAGCTGTGGCACAAAATTTGATTGCTCTGAAACAACAAACACCATCTCACACTGCCAACGTCAGGCCCAGGCAGGAGCTGGAATAAGTTGCTTGGTGACAGTTGCTATGCCACCACTGGTTTCTGTCTGAGTTTCTTCTAATGTCTGGAGTCGTAGAGTTTGTACTGTGGTTAAGTTGTGGTTTCTGGCCAAGATCTAGGGATCATCTGACAGTGAGTCCGTCGGTTCAGACTGAAATATATCAAGAAATATCTTGGGATTAACACGAAGGTTTGTCTGGAGTCTAGAGCATGAATCTGAAAGACTGTGGATGAATCATTTTGTTTACTCCATTTCCACAATGGGGTTCACATTTGTTGTTTTGTATCATGAAATTTAATAGAGACATTTGTGTCCCCTTGAGGACAAATTGTCATGAATTTGAAGATCCCTGTATATATAATCTACACTATAATCAGATCAAAATACTTCAATTCATGCAGGGTTTCCATCGGGCCTTTAAAAAACATTTAATTTTGCTATTGGAATTTAGGGCTGAAAAAGTCTAAAATATGTGAAAATATTTCATGCTAGTTTTTTAATATGTTTTTAAGTTGGTCTTCATCATGTTAACGTTGATTTGATGCTACTTATGTCATTCTTTCAAAAATAAACAGATATGTAAGAGAAATGTTTTGGAGGCTGATGATGAGTTATTTTCTACAGGTGTCGGCATATTCACCACAATGTCACCAACACTGCACTCGCTGACAGGGTGCAGCGCTTCAACTGTTAAATGCATTAGGGGCCCAGTTATTACACAACAAAGTTGCTTAACAAATCGCTCATAATGGCGATCGTCCGTTAAATAACAACTTCTCCCTGTTTACGTAAAGACATGCATTGTATTAGAGCTCGGTAAATCTGACAGACCCACAAATCATGCATGAATTCAAGGACACCCACACACACTCAGACACAGACACACGCATGGCAACACGCACATACATAACTCCCACGCTGCAGCTTTGTGTTGAAGGGCATGTAATCTACAATAACAGACTGAACAGATCGCAGTATGTCCCACATCTCAAACCCTGCCAATTCACTAGACACCACTCAGGTCATGACATAATAAACTGTGACAGTGAAGCACAAAAACTCAGGTAAAACAAAACTGCCTTTGTTTGTCATCGTGCTTATATCAGAACGTTTCAGGTCCAGGTGAAACACTCCTGATGTAGACAGCCCTAAACCACAGTAGAGTACTTTGAATGAGTGGCTGTATACACATTCTCTCCATACCACCCAGCCTCTGTGTCTCAGAGCAACATAAATCCTCTGACCCCAAAAAATATGAAAAATAGATGACTCTAGATGAACACTGAGGTAAAATTTCACTAATAAACGCTTGAAAATCTTTTTTTATAACACCCATTCCTTTTGAATGTAATTTATTTCATGAAATACAGTTAACATCTTTCAATAAATATGAAGAGTCAAGAACGTCACAAGTAAAGTCCTTAAAAAGTGTTGGAAACTGTTTTACTGTTGTTTAAACGTGCAGCAGCTGTTGAATGTGTCGTCATGTTGAAACCAGACTGCAGAGAAAGCCCAGAGAGGCTGAAGACAAACATGTAGAAGAATATATATGTGTGTGTGAGAGATTCATCTATAGCTGAAGCGCATGTGTATTCACTGTGTGAGAGATGGTGGTCTGGAAGGCGAATGTGATGTGGTTTCGTGCATTATCGAGGTAGGGGTCTGCAAAGGTGTGCGTGTCACCAGAGAAGTGTCTCCACTGCATCAGCTCAGACATGCTGAGATGCTTCGGCACAGCTACCCCTCCACGGTCACCTTGACGTCCGAGCTGGCACGGCCTGTCAAAAACCGGGACCTCCTCCTCCACGGCTGCTGAGAATGAGGACAAAGGTGAGTCAAGTGAAGTCAACTGGTGTCAGTGTGTGTGTGGGGCATGTTTATGAGCCTACCCTGGACCGATCCGTCCATGCTGCAGCTACAGTTCAGCAGGTCATGAGTTAGAGACGGCGTGTCCGTCAAGCTGAAAAGATCTCGCAGTTCATTGGAGGAGAAGCTGGTGTGTTCAGCGCCTTTACCCAGGTCCACCACAGTCCCAGAAAGCCCCTGTTTGGAGACCTGTCTCTGGAAAATACGCTCCTCAATAGTTCCTGTGAGGAAGTAACACAAACCCAAATGTAAAACTGTGAATCAGTCTGATTTATTAATGTCTGACTCATTTTGTGAGTCAGTGTGTCCTGACCTGCAGTGAGGAGACGATAGATGTGCACGGTCTTCTTCTGTCCATCTCTCCACACTCGAGCCATGGCCTAGACACAGAACACAAGGTAATGTGGTGGAGAACACACTTGCCCACAGTGCCATCTGGTGGACAGGGATGTAGGTCAGCATGTTTCTGTACAGTCAGTGGGAACTTCTACACATGTAGTTTGGTTAATTTTGTCTGAACTGAGGAAAAAGAAAATTACTTTATTCAGATTGAAACTGGACTTCTTTTGAAAACAATAACGTATAGGTCAGGTTAAAGAAAGACCAAAATTCGACAATGAACAATGAAAAGGACATAATTTCACTTTATAATTGTTCACATAGATTCCCTTTATTCTTTAGGTGATGCACACACTTGTTTTAATTATTTGCTCTTCCTATATATTTTCTGTATTTGTTTTTTACACCGACTGATAATGAGCAACTGTTTCATCAAAATCTCATGTCCAGCAGATGATTAAATAGAAGTTTATCTTTAAAATTTGTATTCAATCATGTATTCATCTACAAATCATAAAATCCAGTGACTGAAATAAGTCCACTTGGAAGGGGGCCCAGATGGTTTCAGTTTGCTGAGTGAGCCAGATTAGTTGTGAAAGTACCATGAACATGTGTGTGTGTGTGTGTGTGTGTGTGTGTGTGTGTGTGCGCGTGTGTCCTGCTCTGTAGCCATTGTAGTTAGTCAAAGAGAACAGTGTTGCAGACTTTGAACCCTCCGTGTGGGTGACTTACCTGAATATCGTTGGCAGGGTTCCAGTCAATATCATAGAGCACCAGATGGGAAGCACCGATCAGATTAAGTCCCACACCTCCTGCCTTGGAGCTCAGGAGAAACACAAAGTTCGGAGAATAGGAGCTGTTGAAACTGTCCACCAGTCGCTGTCTCTTGTTGGTAGGCGTGTGTCCGTCTAGTCGGCAGAAGGTGTAGCCCATGTGCACACAGAAGTCTTGGAGCAAGTCAAGAGTTTGAGTGTAGTTGGACACTACGACCACCCTGCAAGGACACAGATACACTGTCAAGCCTGCAGATGTAGAGTATAAACAGTTGAAAATGTAGTCATGTAAATGTAAACACTGGACACACACACACCTGTCTGAAGGGTTGAGCTGTCTGATGGCAGTCAACAGGTCCGACAGAACAAGGAGTTTTCCTGAATCGGTCATGTTCAATCCTCCTGACGAGTAGGATTCTGGGAAAAGATCGACCAATCCATCATATATTGAACTCTCCTCTGATCCGTGGTTTAGTCTCTCCTGAAAAAACGACAACAAAGGGGCTGGGATTCAAATATCCAGGGACACAGCTAAATAATACACTTTTAACATCAGAACTCCAAAGACTCAAGAGTTTAATGAATAACTACAACATAAAAAAATCAACAAGTGTCAGTGTGAGACTAGTGCCACTCCCTGAAAGCTAATAAAATATGACCTTGACGGTGGAGTAGAGCAGGCCGGGGTGGTTACACAGCTTCTTCAGTGCAGTGATGCAGGCCAGGTGTGTGTGTGTTTGCGTGGAGCCCTGAAGGCAGGCTCTGAAGACTCGATGGCACAGGAGATGCCTGTAAAGCTCTAGCTGCAGAGGGGATGGGTCACAGAAAAGTGTCCAGTCAAGACGAGGGGGCAGGTACCGGTTGATGATCTCCTGCGTCCGTCTCAGGATGAACATGCCAGTCAGGCGAGACAGCTCAGCTGCTCGGTCTTCACCCAAAACTCTCTCCTCCTGTCGGCAGAGAATGATGAGTTGACTTCAGATGAAGATTTCTCAATACAAGAGATGGAGATTCACAGAAAACAGACAGAGGGCGCTTTACCTCGGTGCAGGAGGGTTGCCTGGAGCGCAGAATTGGCTCCTCATACACTTTCCTGTAAGCCGTCAATGACCCGAGAATCCCTGGGTTTACGAACTCTATAAGCGCATAAAACTCCTGCAGGTCGTTCTGTACTGGAGTGCCTTCAAAACACAAAGACAATTCATTGTAAAACCTTCACAAGACTTCAGCCAATCTCAGAAACAACCAAGTGTGTACCTGTCAGTATGACCCTGCGATTACAGCTGAGGCTACTGAGAGCAGAGGATGTTTTAATTGTGCTGTTCTTTAATCTGTGACCCTCATCGCAAATGACAAGACCAAAATCCACTTTTTGTACCTGAGAACACAAGGGAAATAAAATACAAGTTTCAACGGGTTTATTTGAAGGCGAATGTGTTTTAAAGTCAAATTCGTTGCGATCATACCTGCTCTTGGCTGCGCAGCAGCATCTCATAGCTGATCACCAGAACGCTGTGCAGAGGAGACAACACAAACTGCTCTATCCTGTGGTCCTGTACATGTCAAGAAAGAATGAATATTGATGACTTAATGCATGTTTAATACATGGTTAAGGGGAATGATTCAATGTGACACTTTGATTCAAATTAATTGCTTTATAAAAAGACATATGTGCATTTTTCTGCTGGAAAATGTAATTTCCTATCAAGAGCTACAGCCATTTTTGCATTTACAAGACCATGACAAGAGGTTGTAATACGCCCTCTGAGCAGAGCTACTTC